ACTAGATACGCATTGAGTGGGCCAGGCATGGTGGCTCACACCACAATTCCAGCACTTTGGGAGGCCAAGGTGGGTGGATCACCCAAGGTCAGGAGTTCAAGACCAACCTGACCAACATGGCAAAACCCCGTGTCTACTAAAAATACAAAAATTAGCCAGGCGTGGTGGCAGGTGCCTGTAATCCCAGCTACTCAGGAGGCTGAGGCAGGAGAATCTCTTGAACCCAGGAGGCAGAGGTTGCAGTGAGCTGAGATTGTGCCATTGCACTCCAGCCTGGATGACAAGAGTGAAACTTCATCTCAAAAAAAAAAAAAAAAAAAAAAATTGGTATGCGTTGAATGCATGAATGGGAGTTGGGGCTGGCCTCTGAGAAGGGTGGGTAGTCTTCCAGGACAAAGATAAGAAATGCACAGATGTGTGAAGTCAGAGTAAGCAGTCTACCCCGAATGCATGAATGGGAGTTGGGGCTGGCCTCTGAAGGGTAGGTAGTCTTCCAGGACAAAGGAATGAAATGCACAGATGTGTGAAGTCAGGAGTAAGCGCAGTCTACCCCAGGAGTGCCTGGCTTGGCTCCAGGAGAGGACTAGTCAGGGACTAGTGGGAAAGGAGGCTGGGGACACAGGATGGGAGTAGACTGCAGAGTATCCTGCAGGTTAGACTGAAGAATCAGGACTCTATCCTGCAGGGTAATAAGAAGCCACTGAAGAACTTTCAGCTGAGGAGTGGCCTAATTAAAGCTGTATTTTGAGAAAATTACTCGTGAGTCCGCTGCAGAATAGACTGAAGCAGGGCCAGCTGCATAATTGTCAGGACCCAGTGCAAAATGGAAATACAGGGGCTCTTGTTCAAAACCTAGGGGAAAAAGTGCCCTTAGAGGCACTAAAATATAATTTTTTTTTTTTTTGAGACAGTGTCTCACTGTGTCACCCAGGCTGGAGTGCAGTGGCATGATTTCTGCTCACCGCAACCTCTGCCTCCAGGGTTCAAGCGATTCCTCCCTCAATCTCCCGAGTAGCTGGGACTACCACCACGCCCAGCTAATTTTTGTATTTTTTTGTAGAGACGGGATTTCACCTTGTTGGCCAGGCTAGTTTTGAACTCCTGACCTCAAATGATCCACCCACCTTGGCCTCCCAAACTGCTGGGATTACAGGTGTGAACAACCGCACCCGGCCTAAACTATTTTCCTTTCATCCATAGTTCTTTCAACTTCTCATGGTTTTTTGTTTTAGAGACAGGGTCTGGCTATGTCACCCAGACTGGAGTGCAGTGACGTGATCTTGGCTTACTGCAACCTCCACTTCCAGGGTTCAAGCAATTCTTCTGCCTCAGCCTCCTGAGTAGCTGGGATTACAGGCATGGGCCACCATGCCCGGCTAATTTTTGTATTTTTACTAGAGATAGGGTTTTGCCATGTTGGCCAGGCTGGTGTGGAACTCCTAGACTCAAGGGATCCACCCACATCGGCCTCCCAAAGTGCTGAAATTACAGATGTGAGCCACAGTACCCAGCATATCCATGAACGACCTTCCAGTCTCAGCCTCTGGGTAGCTAGGGCTGCAGGCGCATATCACCATGCCTGGCTTTCTCATGGTGTTTTTTTCTTTACTATTTAATGTTTAAATGTTTTTTGTTCGTTTATTTGTTTGTTTTTGAGACTCCCTCTGTCGCCCAGGCTGGAGTGCAATGGTGCGATCTTGGCTCACTGCAGCCAAAATAGAATTATTTTTCTTTTTTCTTTCTTTTGAGATAGTCTCTTGCTCTGTCACCTAGGCTGGAGTGCAGTGGCGTGATCATAGCGATCCAATCCTCCCAGCTCAGCCTTCTAAGTAGCTGGGACTAGAGGTGGCTACTAGTCTAACCTGGCTAAAATGCCTGACTAATTTTTAAATAAGTTTTTCATAGAGATGGGGTCTCGCCAGATGGGGTCAAGCTCAAGGCTTGTCTTGAACTCCTGGGCTCAAGGGATGCCCCCGCCTGGGTCTCTCAAAGTGCTGGGATTACAGGCAGGGGCCATTGTTGTTGAGGTTCCTTGCAGAGGGAACATTTCCATGTTCATGTCCAATTTAGCAGTTGGCCACGCTCAGTCTCACGTATTCAGTTGTAGACATAACATGCTTACCTTGTACTCATTTGGAATCTGGCTGAACTCCCACACGTTGTAGGTCCCCCAGAATTCTGTGCTCGTGGTGCATCTGGAACGATGTGTGAATGGGACGTATCTCCTCGCTCACAGGCATGCGTCAGTGCTCCACTGGATGTCACTTACAAAGCACAAATTCACAGATAGAACTATGAAGAATTTCAAGACAGCGATGGCATTCAGCTCCATAAATGTTTGGTGGGGAAAGAAAAGCAATAGCAGAGTTTTATTTATTTTTCATTTATTTATTTATTTATTTTTTGAGACGGAGTCTTGCTCTGTTGCCCAGGCTGGAGTGCAGTGGTGCCATCTCGGCTCACTGCAAGCTCCGCCTCCTGGGTTCAAGCCATTCTCCTGCCTCAGCCTCCCCAGTAGCTGGGACTACAGGCGCCCACCACCATGACCGGCTAATTTTTTTGTGTGTATTTTTAGTAGATACGGGGTTTCACCATGTTAGCCAGTATGGTCTCGATCTCCTGACCTCGTGATCCGCCTGTCTCGGCCTCCCAAAGTGCTGGGATTACAGGCGTGAGCCACCGCACCCGGCCAATAGCAGAGTTTTAAACCAAACAACTATGAGCATGGGCCTTGCATGACTGTGCAGGTCCCATGTCAGGAAGCTGGCCTTGGACTGGAGGGAGTGGGTTTGAGGACGTGGATGACAGTTTGGATGTGAGGTGTTGAGAACTTGGGCTAAGGATTTAAGGTAACAGTTGAAAGGAGAAGAAAAACCTCTCCAAGGAAAATAGGCAAGATTTGAAGAAAGATTAAAAGAGGTGGAGATAATGATTCTTTTTCTTTTTTCTTGAGACAGAATCTTGCTCTGTTGCCCAGGCTGGAGCACAATGACGCAATCTTGGCTCACTGCAACCTCCGTCTCCTGGGTTCAAGCGATTCTCCTGCCTCAGCCTTCTGAGTAGCTGGGGTTACAGGCTCCCACCACTGTATTCGGCTAATTTTTGTAGTTTTACTAGAGACGTAGTTTTACCATGTTGGCCAGGCTGGTCTTGAACTCCTAAGCTCTGGTCTGGAACTCCTTTGCTTAGGTGATCCGCCAGCCTCAGCCTCCCACAGAGCTGGGATTACAGTCATGAGCCACCGGGCATGGTCAAGATAATGATTTTCTTTTTTTTTCTTTTTTGAGATGAAGTGTTACTCTATTGCCCAGGCTGGAGTGTAGTGGTGCGATCTCGGCTCACTGCAACCTCCACCTCCCGGGTTCAAGCTATTCTGCCTTAGCCTCCTGAGTAGCTGGGATTGCAGGTGCACACCACCACACCCTGCTAATTTTGCTTTTTTTTTTTTTTTTTTTTTTTTTTGAGACAGAGTCTCACTCTGTTGCCTAGTCTGGAGTGCAGTGGTGCAATCTCGGCTCACTGCAAGCTCAGCCTCCCAGGTTCACGCCATTGTCCTGCCTCAGCCTCCCAAGCAGCTGGGACCACATGTGCCCGCCACCATGCCTGGCTAATTTTATTGTATTTTTAGTAGGAACAAGGGTTTCACCATGTTAGCCAGGATGGTCTCGATCTCCTGACCTCGTGATCCACCTGCCTCGGCCTCCCAAAGTGCTGGGATTACAGGCATGAGCCACTGCGCCCTGCCTAATTTTGCATTTTTAAGTAGAGATGGGGTTTCACCATGTGGGCAAGGCTAGTCTCGAACTCCTGACCTCGTGATCTGCCCGCCTTGGCCTCCCAAAGTGCTGGGATTACCAGGCAGGAGTGCAGTGGCCGGATCTCAGCTCACTGCAAGCTCCGCCTCCCGGGTTTAGGCTATTCTCCTGCCTCAGCCTCCCGAGCAGCTGGGACTACAGGCGCCCGCCACCTCGCCCGCTAGTTTTTTTGTATTTTTTAGTAGAGACGGGGTTTCACCGGGTTAGCCAGGATGGTCTCGATCTCCTGACCTCGTGATCTGCCCGCCTCGGCCTCCCAAAGTGCTGGGATTACAGGCTTGAGCCACCGCGCCCGGCCGAGATAATGATTCTTAGCATGTGGTATTTAGAGGCAAGTGTACCCCCCTCCTAGACTGTGAGCCCCGTGAGAGTGTAACCTCTCTGGCCTCCCCAGGGCTACAGTACACAGTCTATAGAGGTGCTCAATAAATGTTTGCTGACCCAAGTAGACATATAAGGATGGGAGTTCAGACGTCGGGGTGGGGCTGCCAGGAGGCAGAGAACCGAAGTAGACCTGGCTGCAGGGCTGGGGTCTCAGGGCAGTGCTGGGGACTGGGAATGTGGTGTTGAGAGGGCTTCAGGGAGACGTGACGGGAAGATGGGGAAGCCTCTGCACGTGGACAGAGCCAGGTGGTGTGGACAGGGGCTGTGAGATTGGAGAAGGAGGCATCTGGGGGACTGGTAGCGGTTCCCAACAGGGGAACGTACCTCTGAGGGTGGCCTTTATCCATCTCTGCGTGGCCTGTCCTAGCTTCCCTCGGCCAGCCTCCCGGCTGGTCTCTTCGTTCTCTTTCTTGATCTCTAGCTCTTTATTCCTCTGACATTCTGCCCCATCTGCTCCTGGACTCTTCCACCGCATGTATATCTTACTCTCTTTCTAACTCCCTGCCTGGGGCCCCCACCTTTGAGCATATATCATCAGCTTCTCTCTCTGTCGTTGCGTTTCTCTGGGGTTATCTTTCCCTCTACTCCGCCCGGACACGCCCTCTATCTCTTCCTCCCATCCTGTCCCAGTCCAGTACTTGGGGTGGGGGTAATGGAGAGACCGCCAGGTCCCTCAGAAGAGGCAGGGGGGCGGGCCCAACCCCTCCATATTTACATATGTATGAGGTCGCCTGGGCCAGTGGCAAGGAGGCGGAGCTTCTGGGGGTGGGAAGGGGGCGGGCACCCCCAGAGCCGCAGAGTATAAAGACCGCGCTCGGCGACCGCGGGCCCCGCACTGCTGAGGAGCGGAGCCTCCGCTTGGGGGGCCCCCCATCCCTGGCTGTCCCCCAACTGCGCGTCCCCGCCCCACCCCCGCGGCTGAGCCACCACTGGTGCAGTGGTCTCCGCTTGGCGGAGGGAGCCTTGAGCTTCGTTCCACAGCTGCTTTGCATCTTGAATTTCGGGGCGGCCCCCTCCCCCACCTCTCCCTGCCTTTTTGTACCCCGCTTTTTTTCTGCATTCTGCTCGGCTTTTGTAGCCGTCTGCTTGTGCACCCCTTTTCGTTTTGTTTCTAGACGGTTTGGCGAGGGTGAAGCTGCGTTCATACCCCTTCCTCTTGTTATTCTCTCCTGCTCTGACAGCACCCCTTTTCATCGCAGTTGGGGGGCCTAGGATCGGTGCATCTTCCGCCGCGCTGCCAGCACCCCGCAGCGCGTGGCCGTGCACCCCGGAATCTGCAGCAGCTGCATATCTGAGGGGGTCTCCTTTGCCTCCGCCGCCTTTGCTCCCCGCGCTTTTGGTTGTGTGGAGGGCTTCAGCGCGCGGCGCCCCCGCTTCTCCGCAGCCCCCTGCCCCGCGCCCGGACTAGACCCGCGCCGCCAAGATGGTCATCCAGAAAGAGAAGAAGAGCTGCGGGCAGGTGGTTGAGGAGTGGAAGGAGTTCGTGTGGAACCCGAGGACGCACCAGTTTATGGGCCGCACCGGGACCAGCTGGGGTACGCAGGGCCGGCACGCAACGGGCGGGGGAGAGTCGCGGGGTGACGCCTCGGGGGCGCAGGGTCCCGCCGATGCGGCCCCAGCTCCCTTCCCGGGTCCCCGGCGTCAAGCCTCCCTGCCGGGCTCTGGGCTGGGAGGGGGCCGAATCGCCAGCCTAATCTCCCCGGCTGGCCGTGCGGAGGCGGAGAAAGTAGGTCACAGCCGCCTTCCCGCCCCCCGCGGAGCCCCCTCGGGCGGGGGGTCGCCAGCTCTGCCTGCGTGTCCGCGCCGTGGCGCTCACACTCCCTCTCGGGGCCTGTCCGCTCCACACGGGCGTCCCCCACCTCCAAAGAGCGCCCCTTCCCTCCCTCCGGCTCTCACTAGCTCGGCAGTCCCGTCTATTTTTAGCTCGTGCCCACCCCCTGGACCCTGGGAACGTTCATGAAGGGGCGGGTCTTGGGGGGGTGTGTTAGGGGGGTTCTTCACGGCGGAAGTTGTATCCCACCGCCTGGCCTTGGGAGCCTTCTCTGACTGCTTTGTGGGTTGGGGGGCTGCTGAGAGTATGAGTTTTTCCGAGGCTGCAGGTTTTGCTCCCATGTAGGTGGCGGAGGGAGGAGTGGTCACTGTGGTGATTTGTGTGCATCAGCCAGCCAGGTGTCTGTGACAGTCGGGTGACTTGGGAGCCTCCGCAGGCTGACCATGGCAGGACTCAGGGAGTTGTAGTAGTTGGGGGGGGGGTCTGGTGACCTGCACAGGTGCAGGTGAGGGGTGGAATTCTTCCAAGAGGGGTGGTCAAGCTGGGACGTTGAGACACAGGAGACATTGTGTGACACGGTTTACAATTTTTCCACACTGATTTGTCACTGTCCCCATCCGTCCACCCACTCAGGAGCCCACGAGGTGGGTCCCATGCAATCCATGCTCTCAGGGAACTCAAACTCCAGCCCCTGGAATGAAAGAATCCAGCAATGCTTGGGAGAGCCAGAGGACTTCATGGAAGAAGTGTCTTCTGAGATGGAAGGATTGGGAGTCCAGGGTGGTGGGAACAGCCGTCCCCTGGGCCCTTACTTCAGGCAGGGGAGCCATGGAGAAACCCCACCAAGTGACGGCTGTGGGAGATTCTGCCTTTCCTCCTTGCCTCTGCCCAGGGTGCTGGGTGTGAGCTGAGGGTGGGGTGACTGTCGAAGGTTCTAACAAGCTGTCTCTGAGAGATTTGTAGCTAGGCTAGGGTGTTAGGTCTTGCATTTCAGGAACTGTGTTCAAAGTTTGGCTTTTGAAGAGCACCAGGAGAGAGATTTTGCTATTCAAATCTGAGGGTCCAGGCTCTGCCGGGTGGCAGGAGAGTTTGCTTGTGAATGGTGGCCAGTACCCGCTTAAAAAGTCACCATGCTAGCACAGCTTTAAGCATGAGTATGAATGCAGAGGTAACAGATGTGTGCCTTTTCAGGACTAAGCATGGTTGAGAAGTTGGAAATGTAATTGGAGGCAAAGTAACAGCAGCCTATACTTGGAGTTGCCGCAGCAACAAGAGTTTAGGTCTCTGTGGCCTCCCCAAGGTCGGGCTTCATTGTGCCCTAGGACCAGGAGGGGGCTGGGCGTCATGGCTGGAAGCCAGACACAACTGCCTGCTTCCAGCTTGTCTCATTTTGCTCCCAGGGGAAGGCTCTAAGACATCCCTGTGGCTCTGTGACCAGTCCCAGTGCAGAACTTCAGAGTGGGTAGAGGGGTGTGTGGGGGATAGGTGAGGGTATGGTGGGAATGTTAGGCCCTGCTGACCCTGTTTCCTCCTCCCTAGCCTTTATCCTCCTCTTCTACCTCGTTTTTTATGGGTTCCTCACCGCCATGTTCACCCTCACCATGTGGGTGATGCTGCAGACTGTCTCCGACCATACCCCCAAGTACCAGGACCGACTGGCTACACCGGGTGAGTGTCGCGGCTCCCCCTGCCAGCTACTCTAACTGCTCTTGTGCCCCCAAACCTCCAGAAGGAACTCATAGTTCCTTCCAGGAGTTTAATTCTGATGACCCAATCCCCATGTTCTGGGAAGTTCTTCTTGGAATCTGTCCACCTTCCCATTTCCTGCAGTTGGGAGCTGTGTGATTTGGGCATGTGGCAGATAACCCTCCCGTGATCACCCTCCCGTGAAGACGATATCAGATATTCACCGCTGTCCCCACCCTGGTGTTCCCTGTGTCCATTTTCTTGCCTCTGTGTGCAGCCCCTCATCTTATAGATACCCCCCAACTTTTTTGCCTTTGTCGGCTGTAGGCTTGATGATTCGTCCCAAGACTGAGAACCTTGATGTCATTGTCAATGTCAGTGACACTGAAAGCTGGGACCAGCATGTTCAGAAGCTCAACAAGTTCTTGGAGCGTGAGTGTGGCTCTGGCTGTGTGGCAGTTCACGACTTCAGGCAGGGGACTGGGGTCCTTGGAAGTGGAGCATCTGGCCCCTGACTCTCTCCCTCCCACCTCCTTAGCTTACAACGACTCTATCCAAGCCCAAAAGAATGATGTCTGCCGCCCTGGGCGCTATTACGAGCAGCCAGATAATGGAGTCCTCAACTACCCCAAACGTGCCTGTCAATTCAACCGGACCCAGCTGGGCAACTGCTCTGGCATCGGGGACCCCACCCACTATGGCTACAGCACTGGGCAGCCCTGTGTCTTCATCAAGATGAACCGGGTACCTATGACCTTGGTCCCCAGGGTGAACGGAGGAAGGATCTGGGGACACCACCTGCAGACAGTTGCATCCTTTCACTGGGGCTAATGGGCATGAGAGAGACTTGGATATTTGTGTAGCTGAGAGGAAAAGAGAGGCGGGGCTCTTGGAGGCTAAGCTCTGTAGCTAGAAGGCTGGATGCCTTTTTTTTTTTTTTTTTTTTAAAGACAGGGTCTCGCTATGTTGCCAAGACTGACCTTGAACTCCTGAAATTAAGCTATACTCCTGCCTCAACCTCCCTAGTAGTTGGGACTACAGTCCCTGGCTTAGCTTGGTCTGGATGCCCATCTTTGACAACTTCTTTCTCTGACTCTCTTCACCTTCCATCCTCACTCCAGGTCATCAACTTCTATGCAGGAGCAAACCAGAGCATGAATGTTACCTGTGCTGGGAAGGTGAGTTCGTTGGGCCTTGTCTGCCTGCTCACCTGTGTGTCCTTCATGGTTTCTGTGTAATTCACCTGTCTCTCCCTATCTTCTTTGCTCCTAGAGGCCCCATCAACATAGAAACAAGGGGGTAAGAGTGGGCTTGTGGGCTCCACCGTAGCTTGAACTCCGAGGGCCTCGCACTCCTCTAGCTTCTCTCTAGGATGCAGAGGCCTGCTCTCCTAGGGGCAGACACACGCCCTCCTTCACCAACACCTTGGCCTCTGGCTTCTCTCCCTAACGCTTCCACCTTCTCCTTTGTTTCCGGATTGTCCATATCTTTCTCTCTCCCTCCCATATGGCCCCCACCCGTCAGTTCCTTCTAGGTATCTGGTAGCTGCTGATCTGTTAGCACCATCTGCTACCACTTCGTTGTCCTTGGGACGCTGTTCCCCCCTACCCACCCCCTGGTCTCCTTCTAGAAACTTGCTGCTCCCTCCACATCCCCTTCCTTGCTTTCTATTCAACCCTTAATCATGTATCTGTTCTTTCTTGGCTCTGCTCCAGAAACTGATTCCTGAGGATGGGGTAAGAACTTGGGGTAGGAGTAGAGTAGGAGGCTTTCGTGTCATTAGCAGCCTTCAGGAGTTCCTAGAGTGATGACAGAGACAGACCATCCCCTCATCTACACACGCAGACACACTCACACAGACTCACAGCTCCAGGGAGGCAAACTTGAGACAGGAATAATCGGGGGCGAAGGAAGAACAAAAGAACGAATGGAAGTCTGGTGAGCTCCTGGGTGCCTGCCATCCCTAACTGGCTCACGCTCTATCTTCCTGCACCCCCACAGCGAGATGAAGATGCTGAGAATCTCGGCAACTTCGTCATGTTCCCTGCCAACGGTAACATCGACCTCATGTACTTCCCCTACTATGGCAAAAAGTTCCACGTAAGTCCCAGGGGAGGCCCAGGCTGATGGCGGGTGCGGGTGGTGAGCTAGGGAAGGAGGCCGCGTCACCCCAGGCCTAGACCCTGCACTGCTCCTCCGGCCCAGGTGAACTACACACAGCCCCTGGTGGCCGTGAAGTTCCTGAATGTGACCCCCAATGTGGAGGTGAATGTAGAATGCCGCATCAACGCCGCCAACATCGCCACAGATGATGAGCGAGACAAGTTCGCCGGCCGTGTGGCCTTCAAACTCCGCATCAACAAAACCTGAGGCCCCTTCCTCCCACCCCATCTCTCTCCTGTGGATGCTCCTGGAATGTCCCTGACCCTGCCTGATCCCTCCCTCACCCACCCCAAAGGTATTTTTGATAACAGAGCTATGACTTGTCTGAGCCTCACACCCTTTTCCTTGACTTCTCAACCCAGCCTGAAGTCCATTGCGCTTCCCCATCACTCACATTTCCGACCAACTTCTCCCAACCTCAGATGAGAGGGAGCTGGGCTAAGATGGCCACAGAGGAGTTAGGAGGCTTTCTAGTTCTGGTTTAGCTGTGAGAGTTATCCACTCTCCTGCCTGCATATCCCCTGAGAGTTATAGGAAGTGCCCACTGACCCACCCACCCAGCTACATACCCCCACCCCCCACACACATACAAACGTGCACACGTGTCTCATTTCACCCCTTTGCTTCCAGAGATGAATGTGGCACTCTGTCCTTCCATTCCTAAGCTCTAGCCACTGGTCCTTGATCTCTCACACTTTCTCCCTGTCTACACAGTCGTCATCTTGGTGACTTTGAACTTATCTGGCTCCTGGGCAGGTGTTCTCCTCCTCTTCATCCCTATTCCCTCCTCTGAAATGCACCTTTTTGTAATTGAGGACAAGGTGGTTCTGTGGCCTTTTCCCTCTTTCCTGGCACATTCTGCTTCTCACCCTCTGGTGACTCTGTGAGCTGGGAAATGAGGGACTGGAAGCGAGGCCTGCGTTGGCCCTTCCTGAAAATCCTCTGGCAACCCCCGACTTCAGCAGTTTCTCCCTTCCTTTCTTCCTTCCTTCCTTCCTTCCTTCCTTCCTTCCTTCCTTCCTTCCTTCTTTTCTCTTCTTTCTTTCTCTCTCTCTCTTTCTTTTCCTTCCTTCCTTCCTTCCTTTCTTTCTTTCTCTTTCTTTTTCTCTCTCTCTCCTTCCTTCCTTCCTTCCCTCCCTCCTCTTCCGTTTCTCTCCCTCCTCCCTCCCTCCCTCCCTCCCTTCCTCCCTCCCTTCCCCAACACACCTTCCTTCCTTCCCTTCCTTCCTTCCTTCCTTCCTTCCTTCCTTCCTTCCTTCCTTCCTTCCTTCCTTCTTCCTCCTTCCTTCCTTCCTTCCTTCCCTTCTTCCCTCTTGTTGCCCAGGCTACAGTGAAATGGCACAATCTCAGCTCACCGCAACCTCCGCATCCTGGGTTTAAGCAAGCTATTCTCCCGCTTCAACCTCCCGAGTAGCTGGGATTACAGGCATGCGCCACCACGCCCAACTAATTTTATTTTATTTTATTTTATTGTATTTTTTAGTAGAGACAGGGTTTCTCCATGTTGGTCAGGCTGGTCTTGAACTCCCGACCTCAGGTGATCCGCCCGCCTCGGCCTCCCAAAGTGTTGGGATTACAGGCGTGAGCTACCGCGTCTGGCCTTCGGTTTCTTCCTAGGCCCTTCTATCACCCAAATAGCTGCTCCCCAGAGGGGCGGGGTTGACCTAGGCTGAATATCCACTTTGTTTTTACGGATGGCTCCCTTCCCCCATTCGCCTTCCCAGAATATCCTTCAAGTTCCACTTCCCAGGGAGCTCTGGGGGAGGGGCGGCCATTCTGGCTCTGTCCCCAGTGGCCACCTTGGAAACATCGGCTGGCTTTGGGACTATTCCACCTCCTTCCCCTGAGCCCAGATCTGCCCCCACCATCCTCTCTCTGGCTTCTCTTAGCAAGTTATCAACTAATCACTAACTCCTTCCCTTTCCTCCGCATGCCAGCCTGAAAGTTCCAAATCTAGCCTCTGAATGTCTTGGCTCCATCTCCTTCAGACCCTTTTGCCTTTAAAAAAAAAAACAAAAACAAAAACAAAAAACCCATAATGCCCATAGAATGTCAAATGAGGGGCCTCCTGCCTCCTGCTCTGAATATTCTGTAGCTGTAGAGGCATTTTAACCCTTTGTCCTCCAGCAGCTCTTCACTTCCTCATCCTCGCTAACCTTTTTCTTGTTTTAATGCCACAGCCTCCACGCTCCACCCACTGGTGGACCCTTCCCTTTTTCTCTAGCTGGATCTGTGTTTCTTCCCTTCGGGCCCCCGTGTTTTCCTGCACCCGCCCTACCATGGTCTCTCTCTGCAGTTATTTAATGCCTGTGTCAGATCTACTGTAAAAAGAGGATTAAGTAAAATAAAATAAGAGCAATTATATATATAAATATATATCATACACAGAGCCCTGTGTGTGGGTTGTTCCTTTCTGAGCAGTTGGAAGAGCCCAGGGAAGGAGTGGAGGGTGGATCTGGGTGGTCCCAAGGGGATCCCCCAGGCCTTGGAGGCGGCTCCCCAGCTTTGACCTCTTCCTTCCAGTGTCCAAGCATCTACCCCATTCGCCTTGACTAATTTAGTGCACACTATCTTGAGATGACTCCATACAAGACAGGCAGGAAACCTATGTCCCTTTTGTACAGTGATGCTTATGAAGTGCCTACTGTGTACATTCTAGGCACCGTGAGGACACAGTTATGAAAGAGGCAGAGATCCTGCCCCCAAGGAGCTCCCCAGTTTAACAGGAGAGGTGAGGAGCACACGAGAAACTCTCATACAAGGTAGACCTAAACATGCTTCAAGGAAGGGGAGAGAGCCTGTGATGATAAAATTCAGAGCCGCCAACCACTGTCTGTCAGGCACCTTAAAGGGAAGCTTTCTCAGAGGAGGTAGCATTTAAACAGGAGCTTAGAGGAGGGGCGGTTTGGAGAGAAAAGAGCATCAGCAAATGCTCAGAGACAGATGAGAAAAGTTGACTGAAGAAACATGGATGTCAAAGCAATATGGGCCAGGCGCGGTGGCTCACGCCTGTAATCCTAATCCCAGCACTTTGGGAGGCTGAGGTGGGCAGATCGCCTGAGGTCGGGAGTTCAAGACTAGCCTGGCCAACATAGTGAAACCCCATCTCTACTAAAAAAAAAATACAAAATTAGCTGGGCGTGGTGGTGCATGCCTGTAATCCCAGCTACTCGGGACGCTGAGGTAGGAGAATCGCTTGAACCAGGAGGTGGAGGTTGCAGTGAGCTGAGATCGCGCCATTGCACTCCAGCCTGGGCAACAAGAGCGAAACTCCATCTCAAAAAAAAAAAAAAAGCAATATGAACTATATGATCCTAATTTTGTGCAAAGTAAACACACAGGCCGGGTGTGGCAGTTCATGCCTGTAATCCCAGCGCTTTGGGAGGCCAAGGTGGGAGGATCACCTGAGGTCAGGAGTTCAAGACTTGCCTGGCCAACATAGTGAAACCTGTCTCTACTAAAAATAGAAAAAATTAGCCGGGCCTGGTGGCGGATGCCTGTACTCCCAGCTACACGGGGGGCTGAGGCAGGAGAATTGCTTGAACCCAGGAGGGGGAGGGTTCAGTGAGCTGAGATTGCGCCATTGTACTCCAGCCTGGGTGACAAGAGCGAAACTCCGTTTCAAAAAAATTAATTAATTAATTAAAAAGTAAACACACACATGTAAGCATAGAAAAAAATATATATGACGTTTCTTGTGGTATATGGGGGAGGGGAGGGGCTTATAGTTAATTTTTATTTTCTTCTCGGGGCCTTTTCTCTTTTTGCAATGAATTGGTCTTAGTATTTGTCTTGAAAAATAGCTTTATTACATATGCACACACCTACACACAATTTTATCATGAATGCATAATACACACACATGCACACACACACCCCTCATCATATAGAAAAGGATCACTGGGTTTTGGTCATTGTTATACCAAAATTGGGTCATATCGTACACACTTTCATGCATCTTACTTTTCCCACTCAATAAATATCATATGTCAGTACTTCCCCTAGCAGAGCTCTAATTCATTTTAAATTTTCTTTCCTTTATTAACTTATTTATTTATTTATGTACTTATTTTTTTCTGAGATGGAGTCTTGCTGTCACCCAGGCTGGAGTGCAGTGGCACAATCTTGGCTCACTGCAACCTCTACCACCCGGGTTCAAGCGATTCTCCCATCTCAGCCTCTCGAGTAGCAGGAATTACAGGCGCCCGCCAGCACACCCAGTTAATGTTTGTATTTTTGGTAGAGACAGGTTGTGCCATGTTGGCCAGGCTGGTCTCAAACACCTGACCTCGGGTGATCCACCTGCCTTGGCCTCCCAAAGTGTTGGGATTACAGGCGTGAGCCACCTCACTGGGCCTCCTTGATTTTTTTTTTTTTTTTCTGAGACGGAGTCTTGCTCTGTCGCCCAGGCTGGAGTGCAGTGACACAATCTCAGCTCACTGCAAGCTCCACCTCCCGGGTTCATGCCATTCTCCTGCTTCAGCCTCCTGAGTAGCTGGGACTGCAGGGCGCCCGCCACCACGCCTGGCTGATTTTTTGTATCTTTAGTAGAGATAGGGTTTCACTGTGTTAGCCAGGATGGTCTCGATCTCCTGACCTTGTGATCCATCCACCTTGGCCTCCCAAAGTGCTGGGATTACAGGCGTGAGCCACCGCGCCTGGTCTGTAGTATCTTTTTTTTTTTGGAGACAGAGTCTCACTTCCTTACCCAGGCTGGAGTGCGGTAGGGCAATCTCGGCTCACTGCAACCTCCACTTTCCAGGTTCATGTGATTCTCATGCCTCAGCCACCAAAGTGGCTGGGATTATAGGCGCACGCCACCATGCCTGGCTAACTTTTGTATTTTTAGTAGAGAAGGATTTTCACCATGTTGGCCAGACTGGTCTCGAACTCCCGACCTAAAGTGATTTGCCCACCTCGCCCTCCCAAAGTGCTGTGATTACAGGCATGAGCCACCACGCCCAGCCTAAATTTTTCATAGAGATAGGGTCTTACTATGCTGCTCAGGCTGGTCTCAAACTCTTGGGCTCAAGTGATCCTCCCACCTCAGCTTCCCAAAGTGCTGGGATTATAGGCCTGAGCTACTGTGCCTGGCCAAGGCCCCAGTTTTATTTTTTCAGTTGTGCCAGCTTAATTTATTTTGTTTACCCCATGGCAACTTGGAAATGTGTGTTGGGCAAATAATATATTTTTAAAAGAGACAGGTGCTGGGCGCAATGGCTCACGTCTGTAATCCTAGCACTTTGGGAGGCCGAGGTGAGTGGATTGCCTGAGCTCAGGAGTTTGAGACCAGCCTGGGGAACACAGTGAAACCCTGTCTCTACTAAAAATACAAAAAATTAGCCGGGCGTGGCGGCAGACGCCTGTAATCCCAGCTACTTGGGAGACTGAGGCTGGAGAATCACTTGAACCCAGGTTGCAGTGAGCCAAGATTGCGTCATTGCACTCCAGCCTGGGCGAGAGAGCCAGACTCCATCTCAAAAAAAAAAAAAAAAAAAGAGATAGGGACAGGGCAGGGTGGCTCATGCCTATAATCCCAGCATTTTGGGAGGCCGAGGTGGGCGGATCACTTAAGGTCAGGAGTTCAAAACCAGCCTGACCAATATGGAAAACCCTGTCTCTACTAAAAATGTAAAAAAAAAAAAAGTGTGGTGGCGCATGCCTGTAATCCCAGCTACTTGGGAGGCTGAGGCAGGAGAATCGCTTCAACCCAGGTTGCAGTGAGCCAAGATCGCACCATGGCACTCCAGCCTGGGCAACGAGAGTGAAACTCTGTCTCAAAATAAATAAATAAATAAATAAATAACAAAAATAGCAAATATATCTAATGTGTTCCGATTAAATGGAAATGCTAATTTTGGCCATATAATAATTCTCCTGTATATGAACATCTATATTTATTACTTCTTGTTTCCCTTGGTTTG